GATTTCCGACGATTATCAGCGTAGCTTTTCTGGCGATCCTGTGCTGTCTTAATTCTTTCACGGATTTGTTCAATCTTTTCGGAAGTCTCTTGAACAATTTCAGGACCAGTCAACTGTTTCTCACCCACTTCATTCCAACATAACGGCGTCCTGCATTTACGTCCGTACAATACCTCATATGGCGCCGCCTGAATACTGGAATGATAACTGTTATTATATGCAAACTCTATTAGTGGTAAATGATCTTCCCATGATCCTCCGAAGTCGATAATACAACTTCTTAACATATCTTCTAGAGTTTGAATAGTTCTTTCACTTTGTCTATCAGTTTGTGGGTGATAAGCTGTACTTAGACGAATTTCGGATCCCAGAGCTTTTTGTAATCCTTCCCAAAATTTTGAAGTAAACCGACTATCTCTATCAGAGATAATAGACAAGGGAACACCATGTCTAGTAACAATCTCTTTAATATAAATCTGTGCTAGCTTTTCTAACGAATAATTTTCTTTTATCGGTAGAAAATGTGCAGACTTTGACAGACGGTCTACTATTACCCATATTGCATCATAGGATTTTGGAGTTCGGGGTAGTTTCATGATAAAGTCCATTGTAATATGATCCCACTTCCATATCGGTATTTCCAACGATTGAAGTTTCCCATAAGGTCTCTGATGCTCTATTTTAACTTGTAAACAAGTCAAGCATTGCTCTACATATCTTGCAATATCTTTCTTGAGACCCGGCCACCAATAAAATGCTTTTATATCCTTATACATCTTGTTGGTACCTGGATGAATGAAATAACGAGATTTGTTGCTTTCATTTAGAATGATTTGTCGTAAATTCCCATAATTTGGTACCCATATCCGTCCTTGGAAACACAATATCTCTTCTTCATTTGGTTCCATGTTGGAAATTGTCTTACCCACTTGCTCCGACTTCTTATTCTCTTCTTTAATAGCTTCTTCCTGACACTCTTGTATTTTCTTACGCAAATCTGAGTTCAAGCTTATTCTCATTGCTACTGCCTTAATAGTTCCACTTTTCTCTTTACGACTCAGAGCATCAGCTACAACATTAGCCTTTCCTGGRTGATATAAAATTTCACAGTCGTAATCATTGACTAATTCAATCCATCTTCGCTGTCTCATATTCAGATCCTTTTGGTTGAACAAGTGTTGCAGACTTTTGTGATCTGTATNAAACAGACTTACGTCACCACGCTTGGTAGAAACATTTCCCAAAATCCCGTTCCAATACCAAAACAGACTTACGTCACCACGCTTGGTAGGAACATTTATCAAAAACTCATTCCATACCAAAACAGACTTACGTCACCACGCTTGGTAGGAACATTTATCAAAAACTCATTCCATACCAAAACAGACTTACGTCACCACGCTTGATAGGAATATTTTATTTATTTTCAAAAATATAAAATAACCATTTTTATGAATCATAAATAAATAGATAAATATTTAAAAAAAACTTATAAAATTTTCAACAGAAAATCATCCGAACAACAAGTCCGGTCAACTAATCCGGTCAACAACCATCCGGTTTACAACACTTGGACTAAAATCCATTTTGTCCGGATATCTAATCCGATCAACTCACCAAAAACTCTTTGAATGGTTTAACACTTAGAACAATATTCATATTTGTGCGGATATCAAATCCGGTCAACAATCCGTTCAAGTCTCGCCCGGTTTTAAGACTAAACCGCTCACCACTCAACCGGTTTACCAACTCCGGTCAACAAACCGCTCAAGGTTTGTCCGGTTTAAAACTAATCCGGTCACCAAGCCTTTCAAGGCATGTCCGGTTTATACCCTTATCCGATCAAACTTTGTCCGGTTTAAATGCTTATCCGGTCAAGCTTCGTCCGGATAAACACTTRGACAAAAATATCAAAATTTCTTTTCAAATAAGAACAATACGAAATATGAATTCAAAACCAGTAAAAAGCTTTTATGTAAAAAGTTTTAGAACCACTYACCTTTTAAAGCTTTTGAATCCARAACTCTTGAAACCACTCTTTTGAAACCAGCACTTGAAATCACCTTCTTTAACAAACCGAACACCACTCTTTTTAAACCTCTCAATTCCTCTCAAAAATGGCAAGAAGAACCAAATAAAGGRGTAACTCCCCTTTTTATAYTTACCAAATKGGGAAAAGGTCGGCTACCGCCTTCCCCCTCTTTTGCCACCTCTTGCATGCACATATACATGCATACAAGTACACATCTTACACACACATGCACTTCACATTAATTATATATATATATATATATAAACATATATATATATATATATCCAAATATCATTTTACATACCGGCACGTATCAAATATCATGAAATCACAAAATCATTTAGTCAAATATTCACGTATAAGTTTACCTTGGTAATAACCAGGATCTGGTTATCACAACACAAAAATAGAAACTTTTAAATGGTTAATTTGATACTAATTATCGAGATATATATATATACATACTTGGGATCATGTGAGACCAAGGGTTTTTCGTGAGACCCGTAAAACCAATTTTCAACCCCTGAATTAAATCTACAATATGACAATCTGAATATTCATAAACTCTACGAGACTTCTCAATAATCACAAAATTGACACTGTGCAACTTTAGACGATTAGATCATTAGCTTATAAAGTTGATCAATAAACATAAATTGGTCTTACAGGTCTCATGAAAAACAATTGGTCTCACGTGAACCCGACCATATATATATATAACATATTCTTTTGTTAACCCGATTTATGGTATTAACTTTGTAAACTCATCACAATCATTTATCTTGTGAATCAATGGATGACATTTAAGATGATAATTTTATAATAACTAATAATATAACATGTTATCATCTAAGATGAACATATACGAACAAAGATATTATTGAAAAATAATTAATAAAATTTGTAAGTGTCCATTAATGACATTAATGTTCATATGAACATTAAATCATTGTCATTAATAAAAAAAAAATCTTCGCCATTATAAATATTAATATAAACATGGACATCTCCTCCTATATGAACATGGAATATATGATTATGTTCATAAATATATGAACAATGTGATTATGTTCATTAATATTTGAATAATGTTTACATATGTTCACAAAAGTTCATTTGGATGTTCCATTATTTCATATATTAATAGACAATGAACATTGTATACTTAGAGAAATATGTTCACCAGTGATTTCACGATATTTTTCTCCATACCGTTCATATCAACAGAAACAGAATTAACAATACGCTTCAAAAATGTTTACTTGTGATTTGTTCACTTGGATTAACAATTTATTCATTGTGTATATTAATATACACATTTTTAAATTTTTTTCTTGTGATTTGTTCACTCAAAATAACAATTTGATCAAGATTAATTTTATTTAATGATAATACATTTTATAATTTGAATGATTTATCATAATCCCAACAATCAAACAACTATTAAATAGTAACCACTCATTAATTAATACAAAATATAACTTACGTATATGTATAATTTACCCTTATATCCTCTATCTCTTAATCAATACCTTATTAAAACCTACCACAAACAATGAATCATATTGGTCAACTAGGTTAACCCTAAAAATTAAGTTAACAAAAGAACTTGCCCCTATATATATATATATATATATATATATATATATATATATATTCAATTTTTTATGTTATCTTTAAATTTACATGTTATTAAAAAAATAAAAATATTATTGTTTTCTCAAAACCAGATAAAATTGTATTATAATATTGATGTACATTGATAATTCAATGTACAAAAGACTCATTTTACTGTTTTTAGCTAGTTTATTTTCATTTTATCTCAATCTTGAGTCATTTTCATTATTTCATTTTCCCCTTATTAATTATAGAGCTAAACATGTGATTTACTTGTCTTTCACACCAGAAGACTAAAAAAAGAAAAAAAAAAAAACAGAACTGTTTGATGCTGCAGCATTTTAGCACCAGTGATTTGATTGAATTCGGCTTTTTGAAGAGCTTAATGAGCTTGCTGTAGCATCCCTATAACATTGTCCGTTGATATTTGTGTTTATGTCTCACCAAAAGTCTTACACCCATGCTAACTTTATTTATTATATTATTTGCAATTGTTAATTCATATCCAATCAAAGTCTTTAAATTCGTCATCTGAAGTTACTCTTCAACTCGATATCTTGCAACTTAAGATACATATCCCTAAGGAATACGATACTTGATTCTTATCATTTTTGAATGCGATAGTGTTGACACGTATATACTTGCATGTGTTACCACTTAGTGTTGTAGAGATACAATATTTAGCCCCCATCAAATATTGATAGAGACAAAATAAAACAAAATATTAAAATCAAGATATATCTTGCTGCATTATACAAATATCCTTCTAGTAATAAAAAATGTTAAATTCTTTAAAAACAAGGGGTATATATGGTTGACATTGTAAGCAAATGTTAATACCATCTTATGATTTTGCAAGGGCCTTGTTCAATGAAAGTCTTTTCGGTTAAATTGGGATCATTTACATTATTGTAAGCAGTTGGGGTTTTGAGGGAACTCTAAATGACTCCCGACTTTCTAACACGAGCGACAAAGAAGACATAACACAAAAAACTCGCAAACAAAAATAAATAACAAACAAATCAGAATCAAATAAAACACACATTACGTTTTATATCTTAAAGAAATTATGGCAGGTTTCGTAATACAAGTAATGTATGATCACGATACTTAAGCGGTCCCTATGGGTCTAGGTCTTTGCCCTTTGGAGTCGTAACGGTTACATTTGGCCTGGTGTAAGACAAATTCAAGCTTTCGTTTGGGCATGACCTAATACAACCAATCTTTCCTTTAACCGATTATGGATCAAACCCGGTTTCAGTTAAGCTTGACGAGTCCCTGAGGACCACTTATGGGCATGCCCATCTCTAGAAGGTGTGCTAATACATGAGCCATATTCTGACTGAAAGGATGATCAAAAAGACAACTTTTAGCAAATTTTGACTTGGACTCACTCAGTTAGCTTCTTACACAAATTCTATTCAAGGCTAAGAAAAAATCGTTACAATACATAAAAGGTGTCATTATCCTCACAAAGCTGCGATGAATTTCTGGATCTTGGCCTGTGCTTTCTCTTTCTCGTCTGGCCCCTCTAGATCCCCGATGTTGTCGTGATATTCCTAATACAATTATCCCAACATACACATCACTCAACCATTAGATCAACGGAATAAGCATTCAAAATGTTTTATATATACATATATATAGGTGGAGGCTCAAACGATAACATCTTTATTTTACGAAAACAACCCTTGTCACATGTGACAATACACATGAGGAGACTTGGTGGTTTGCAGGCAACTTGGCCTGCAAGCTAGGTTGCACCAAACGTAACATGCGTCTCTAATTTAGTATCACATATGATGAACTGCGGTAAAAAGGTGTTCTCACATTCTCGTGAAACGAAGGTGTTCATGTATTATATATATACACACATATAATATATACAGAAGGAGAGTCGAAAGATCGTGAGAAAATAGGAGTTAACGTGAGAAGTGTAAGGGATTTGGACGCTTGATCACTTTTAATCCCAAAACAACCCATGAATTGGGCTTTCAGAGAGAATTGATCCGATGTATCTCATTAGTGTTAATCTAGTGGTTCCCTTCAATTAGGATTGATACAAGGGTGGAGATCCCTTTTTGCTCTTCTCATCATAACTTTCATTCTCACCGGAACCCAAGCCTACATATAAATATATATAGTTGGATTCCAGTGAGAGTAAGAGTTATAGTGATAACATGAGAACAAACCTTCATATACCTATTTTTATCATCATGACCAAAACTTTAAAAAATTCATGCATGTGAAAGTGAATAAATGCAAGTAAAAGTGAATATTATTGAAGATATATGTGAAGCAAAGGTAGATAAAGGTAGTTAAAGATAGTTGAAGATAGCTGAAGTTAGATCAAAAAGTCAATCCATCTAGAGGCTCATTAGTGTTCTCATCGCAACTGTTATTCTCTCTCTCACACACACACATTATATATATATATATATATATATATATATATCACTCTGTGGGTATCATATGACAGCCCTTCAAATAGGAAAAAAATACAAATCACTAGCAAAAGAATCACATTTCAATTCTTCAGCAACCCTCCACCTATTTCTTGCCCTAAAACATACCCTGTATATCAAGGTTTGAAAGGGATATGATTAATGCAGATCTTTCCTCTACCAGAGGGGTATAGACCTATTTGTTGCTCTCTTTGCTCAAAAAGTAAAATAAAATTAGACTGACTTTTGAGTTTATGATGTCAGATGGATGAGAATGATTGAAAATTGGATTCAGATGGATATTGTTTCTCTCTCTTTCTTCCTTGCAATGTAAGATGTGGTTTTCTCTATTTTTATCCAACATGGATACTATGAGCATCAACTACCTTTACTATATGACTCGTACCAATTTCTATTTCAGGAAAAAACAATTCAAAATTGAAAGAAATAGATGATAAGATTTTCTTCTACATAAATACAATCACTTTGTAATATTAGTTTTTGTCCTTCAAAAAGTATCTACATGTGGTAACCTTATTTATTTTCAGCTTCTTAGAGATCTCCAACAGCTACTCTAAAATGAAGTTTTTGGAGATTATTTCACTTCAGCAGCTACTCAAAATAGGGAATTTGGAGATTTTAACTCTAGGTTATCTATTTTTGAGAACTTTTTGAGTGGCTGTTTGAGATGCTCTTACGACTATTAATTACTAGAATCTACTTCACAATTTCAAAAACTCGATGAAACTTATGCCATGCTTTTGTACCAACTCAATATGTTACCCAAGTCAATCTTAATCTAATAACATTTATAATACCATAGAAAGTAGAATAAAAACCAATGAACTTTCTTGTTTGGAATGATTAAGTCCTTG